AAAATTAAGCATGAAAATGAGCAGTTTCTTAAACAGAGAAGTCAGCTGATAAGAGGCATCAAATTCTTGTATATCTTTCGGAAATCGGTTTATCGGTTAGTCAAACAGTGAGTGAATGTCTTTATTCATCGCGGATGATTAACACAAATCACTGTGATTTAATACATTGAGGTACTTTTCCGTAACTGGATTTTTCGGCCTGGAACTTATTGCATGGCACTTGGCTTAAAGGTACAACAGCAAGCCCAGCTCTTCTGTCAGGAACTGCCTGCTCACGGGTCCAAGTCCTTAAGCGCTCTGGCGCCTGGCCGTGGCCCACGGCCATTAATGAGCCAGCGGAAGCGCGGCTTGCGTGGGTGCATTTGTGACGTGCGAACGGCCTCCCCAGCTCCATCAGAGCGGGGCTGCAGTCAGGCCTGCTCTGCATCTGTGCCTCGTAGGTACAAAATATGGTTTTAATTTCCCATCTTGGATCCGCTTCGCAGAGTCAGTGTCTTTTTGGATTTGGTCGGCATCCACTGGATCTGCTGTCAGTGTGTTGGCTGGCGGTCCTGCTTCCCCTCCACTCTGCCTTCATGCACAGCTATTCCGTCTTTTGTTTTTTTTTGTTTTTTTGAGAGTGGTAAGAGATAATTGGGCTACAAATATTCGAAATGTGACACGTCCGAAATGTATAAATCACAAGCTTAGGGAGACTGAGAAAAAGTTCTCAGCCTGGGAAATTCACAGGAGAGACATAAAATACTTTCAGAAACTGTTAATCTGTGCATTAAGAGTGTAAAACCCAAGGAGGGCGTGGGGGTTTCGGGGGAGGGGCGGAATTGGAAGACAAGTCCTTCTGCTCACCTGTAACCAATTACCCTGAGTGTACTGCCAGTTTGCTGTGTACCTGGGTTAGTGAGGGATGGCTGTAAGCTACAGCTTGCCTCCCTTTTATGGTTTATGGTTTGGCAGGTTTACATTAGATGGCAGCATGGCGGCTCTGTGGTTAACACTCATACATCCAGCGTTGGGGATTTGAGTTCTGCTCAGTGAGTCCTGTGATGCCCGGCATCCCATCGAAGTTGTAGCCCCGCCTCGTGCCCTGTACTGGCTGGGACTGGTTCCAGGTCCCCTGTGATCCTCTCCCCGATCCATGGTTAGAAGATGGATGCATAACACGCCCTTGGTGACAGGAAACTATGCAAATTTGTCAACTGGCAAGGAAACGAACGATGAAAATTATATAATAAGAAAACTGGTAGCTCACATCACTATTGCCCCATAGCTCCAGGGCAGGGTCCTCGGATCCCACCGAGTGCAGTGTGTGTGCAGTGTGTGTGCAGTGTAGATGCTCTCTCTGATGTTTTTGTGTGAGAATTCCACAGCGGAGCCAAGGTAAGTGTGGTTTACTTTTAAATTCTGTAGGCATTCTGTCCCGCCAAGAGATACACTGCACACATGCAATAATAACAAATGCCATATTACATCTAATACGAGCAACAGATAACCTTACCACATCTAATACAACAGTGTCAATATACTACATTCTCCGCATGTTTGCGCTGGTTTGTCTCCCACAGTTCAAAAACATGTGGTTGTGGGGATGGCTATCGCTAAGTTGCCCGTAGCATTTGTGTGTGGTGGACTGGCATCGCATGTAGGCTGCCTTCCTGTGCCGGGGCCTGTTCATATTGGGACAGGCTCAAGGCTCACAGAAACTCTGTACTGGATAACGAATAATAAATGGATGTATTGGATGGATGAATAATACAATGCAGGGCACAGCATTTAACTGCTCTGTGTCCAATTCTCTGGACGTTTAAATCTCTCTTGTTTATACATTTCCTAAGCCATTGTGCTGAAATATATCTGAAATGTATAAAGGCTGGTGTTTTTGATCAGCAGGTCTGGCAGCCACAGACCGGTACCTGCAGCGTGTCCCGCCAGTCCAGGCACTCGCCGTTCATGCTCCACAATCCTCCACTATTCAGCAGAAAATTACATCATGAGATTCTATTGCACCACACTTCAAATCCCCATCACAACATTTTCAAGAACATAATACTATTATGGTTGATGTGACCCCCGTGACCCTAACCCCACACCAATCCTGCCATGTGCGTTTGGAGGGATTTGTGCCTCTGGCCCTCATGTGGCTGGGCCATGTGTGTCAGAAAGGCGGAGAGCAGGTGCATATGTGGGGGGGTTGGGGTATGCCTTGCCTGTTTTTTTTTATCCTGGTGCTCCCTGTCTGCTTCAAACAGGAAGCCTTGGTAAATGGAAGATGCCGGGAAAGACAGATATGTGGTGTCTCGCTCTCTCTCTGTTTGTCTCTCTCCCTCTCTCTCTCTCTGTTTCTCTCTCTCTCTATTTGTCACTCTCTCTCTCTGTCTGTCTCTATCTCTCTCCTCTTTGTGGATTTGGACAGCGAGGCCCAGCCCGTTACATGGGGCCGACGTGCGAGTATTTCAGGAACAAGCTGTTCACTGTGACTGAGTCCGCCGCTTCCAGGGAGGGGGTGATGGTGCGGGGGAAGAGGGGAAGGAGTTTGTGTGTGACAGGACCGTTCGCAGGACATGAGCCAAGTCCTGTGACGCAAGGCCGTGAGCAAGTGTCACGGTAGCATGGGGAACTTTTTTTAATGTGGTGCTAGACCGCCCCATGGGATTGTGGGTCATGGCAGAGGGTGCAAAGAAGGACAGCAGCTCTATGAGTGGATACATCCTCAATGTTCTGTAGCCTGTGTTAAAATGTACGTGATAGTCCATATAATGCCGTGATTGGGCAGGCGATTGTGTCGGTCACCTCACAAATCATTAACGGATGTCCTGCGGCCTGAACTACGAAGCAGGGTTACTGGCTTATCGGGGTAAATTGTCGGATTTAAGGTACCACAGTTTAAATGGACTTCATATTCGTTCACTTACATTTTTATCTTAAATCCGACAAGTTACCCCGACAAGCCAGTAGTTCAGGCCACTGGTGTCCCAGTTATTAGTGAGTGACAGTTTCAGCTCCAGCTGGTGTCAGATGACAGCGAGTTTCTAAGGAGCATCTGCTGTTGTAGCAGAAAGGTGGTCATTTCAAGGGCTTAATCTGAAATTTATGAATGTAAACAATAAACTCTAAGTCAGCCTTTCTTGCAGTGCGAGCTACTCTCACAAGAAAATGTTTTGCTGATGGGGGGGTTAGACTTTGCTCTGTGTGACGGTGACGATCTGATTGTCACGATCGACTCTTTGTCGCTCACTGCGCTAAGATACAGAAGCTGCTTTGAATAAAAGTGTATAAATTTAAGAAAGAAGCAGAACTAATACCATGAAGTCAAAGGAGTACACAGGGTATGTCTTTTCCTGCATGGGGTGCGGCTGGGAGGGGTAGGGGTGGCAGGATGGGGGGTGGGGCACGGGGGTGGGGGGGGGGGGGGGGCGGGGGAAGAGTGAAGTGTCACTGTGTGACAGGGCGGGCGAGGGGGATCATCTCATCCAGATCTGCCCAGACCTGCCGCAGCCACTCTGCAGGGAACTGAGGCTGAGGAGGCAATCCCCGGGGGGGGGGCATGCTGAGGAAGAGAAGCCTTATCTAGCAGATGATCATATGTGGGCTGCCAGCCAGACCTCATGAGAAGATTCAGACACCCAGAAGGGGCATCAGAAATGATGGTGTAGGAGACACTAGTGTTACTCACCCTGTCTACCATTCCAGCATGGGACCCCTGGTGGAGAATATGGAGGGAGGGTTCAATCCACCTGCCCCTCATTAATATCTTATATTAATAGATATTAGTAGATATTAATATTAATATTAATATCTACCTTTGTACATGTATGGTTCCTGTTCTGACTTGTCCCCAGTAAAGCTGTCCTGGTTCCTGTCACGTCGCTTTGTTCCCTCTGGACACGCCCCCAGCTCCTGTCTGTCTATGTGATGCTCACAGGGGAAACCCCGCCCCCTATTAACAAGGGCCTCGCCCCTGTGCTGAATAGAGTAATAACAGAATCTTAGAATCTTCCATGCAGCCAAGACGGTAGATGAATGCGCGCCATATGCATTTAGGAAGCCGTCTGCTCTCCCCAGCTTCCACCATCAGATGATGACAATATACATCAGCGCCCCAGCCCCCCTCTCTGTCCTGCAGCCTTAGGGCCTTTGAAGAAGCATGGCTGACTGATACATACCTCAGTCACGTTAAACTTCCACACAACTTGTTTACGCCCCGTATGACCCAGTGCTGTGGTCTGTAATTAACACCATTGTCTCTGTCTGCTTCCGTCCGACATCACACGCAACAGGAGCGAGTGTTGGTGAGGTCACACCGGAGGGGACATAAAATGACAGCTTCATGCTGGGCATTGTGGGTAGGAGGGCCAGCCATCAAATGGCGACATGTGTAAAAACAGATACAGAATTGGGGACTGGCTAAAAGCGGAATGCTTCACAATAACAAACCTTTCAGGAATGTCACAAACTGCCATTGTGTCCGTGCAGTTATTTCTGACAGCTTTAGTTCTGTTTAATTCCATTCCAGACATTTATGCGGAAACACAAGCTCTGTGGCCGAAGTTCAGACTGTTCCTTTTACAAAATACTCATAATTAAGCATATAATAAAGCCACTTCAGCCATTATTTTAGTAAAAGCATTACACACAGCTTTATAAAAGATTTAAATCGACTAACAAAGAGAACTGCAATGGATTTTCAAATAGCAGTTCACTATTTATACACACACACACACACACACATATATACAGTATATATATAAAAAGAGAGATCTACATAGACATAGACATAGATATAGATATAGATATAGATATAGGAGCACCAGTGGCATTAACGTGGCTGCTAGGCAGGAAGAGTGGGAGCTGTATGGGGTAATTTGTTGAGTTCCATCACTGGAAACAGTGGTGCCCAGCCGTGCCAGACCCACCAAGGAGGCAGGACTGAACCCCCTCTGAGGCTATCTCTGCTCCAAAGAGAAACAGGAACAGTGCTGGTCACATGCTCCCAGTCGGCGTCGTTAATGTCGCATTGTAGCTTCTCCTCACCCACCACACACGTAACGACTTGCGTCTTACACCCCAGCTGAATTCCCCATGACCTCCGAGACCCCTGATTCGACAGCAGCCAGCTGATGGCTTGATGTCTCAGTTCAGATGTTCTGAAAAAAAGGTGAGATTGTCCTGCTGAATAAATGGAGACCAAGAATAGTAGTTTGATTTCAACTTAATTAAATGAACACGTGGTAATAATTAATTACTGAAGGCCTTGAAGGTCATACTCTATCCTTACTGAAGAGTCAGTCCTACTTAATGCTCATTATCTTTAACGAGGTTTTGGGTCCGCTGTATTGGAATGGAGTGTCACATTTGGACTCAAAAAAGTACAACAGCATAAGAAAAACATGATTGGTAAGTAAGCTTCCCTTCTCTTACAAAGCAGGCGTCATAAATGGGAAATAGAGGAATGTGGGTTCAAGTGAGAAAAGAGGGAACGTCGCTGTATCTATCAGCTCATACTTCAGCAGAATTGATCTCACATACAATCTGTTTGTATGACTTTGTTAAATGTCAACCTTTCAGCCTTGATATTTCAATGGGATGCAAATGCAAAGCAAGAATATGATCCAGGTATGAATCACACAGCCCGTCCATGTTACTCTGTAGATGATGTCATGGACAAAGAGCATCGCCGTGTGCCTAAATGTCAGTGCAGGGGTGACAGATAATGCACCCAGCATTCGGATAATTTTAGCACAGACACAAAAACAACAGCGGGCGGGAGGGGGTGGGGGAGACCCTCCTGACGTGATGTCAGGCACCGTGACAGACAGTCACACGGATAGGCGGCAGGGGTCCCGTGGTAAGCTGGATTTGAGGAAGAGCTTGAATGCTGAAAGGACATTCTGAAAGGAAAGGACATTCTGAAAGGAAGCTCGTTCCCTCCTGCTTAATTTGCTCATCGTTATGGAGCAAATTCTCGTCCTGGCAGTAAAGCCTGTAAAACACGGCGTGGAAGCAGACAGTCCACAGCAAACGGCTGAAGGGAGGGAAGGAGAACATGCCACGATATGTCAAAGTATTCCCTGGCACACAAGCCTCTTCCTCGTTTCATCATCACCTTCGTCATTATTTACAGTCACTGCCCGCCGGTCGGCCCAGCCACGCCCCCGTGCCAGTGCAGTACGTCTTCAGTCACGGCCACTTTCAAACGTCGCCCCGTTTCAGTTACTAGCCAGTGACACTGCAGTGGCGTCATCGCTGACGTGACACTAACGTGGTCGCATCCGTTTCACCCTTTTCCTTATTTCTCCGTGTCGCTCATTCCCTGGGTTTGGCACCAGGGCATTTATGTGCATTTAAGCAGTGGAACATTGTCTTTTACAGTTTAGTGCCTCCCATCAGCGTATAACTGTGTTTTTCTTACTGAATGACGCACCCCTGCATTGAAGTCCAGCAAATTCCAGCATTTGCCCTCTTATTACATTGGACTGATGCATTTATCTAAAGCAACTTACAATCGAGGGCAGAGTTGTGATTCCTTTGTGCTCCATGGCATTTTGTTACCACAATGCTGTGCTTATTGAGCTAGAAGAGCTTTATATTACCAGCCCACTTTTGCTCCTTCGGTTATGATAATGTCATACAGATCACTGTATATGGCAGATAGCTGGATGTCAGCTTGCAGCAGACCGACAAACGTTTTTAAACAGGTTCTCTTGTTTGTTCCTCTGTACCGCTGCACACCAGTCATTGCTGCGGCACAAAATGTATTTTTGGTCTGGTGCTTTTGAGGCATAACTGGCCCAGAAACAGCTCTGTACATCGGATAAAACATTTTTACATTCCTCTGATTTATTCATAACAGGAAATTCAGTTTTAAAGTGTGAGGGTTTTACTGTCTATGTGCAAGAGGATCAATGACACGCCCCTCCCCCCCACCTCTTCCTCTGCCATCCACTGGGGATTCTGGGTAGCACTGCAGAAGGTTCTCTGCACCTTATAGGCAGTGAGGCAGTGTCCCAGGTCTGTGTCTGCAGAGTATCTGAGTGGTCACCTCACTCCACACAAAGCCCGCCTACAAAAAGCAAACAGTCTGGCCTGATCCACAAACCTGGGTGATCGATACTCAGCCAAGCCAGGACACGTGTTGATTTTGAGGACTTGCATGGCAAAGTGCACACTCTCAAAATAGAGATGGGGTTAGTAAAGTACAGAGAGAAACAAAGAGCAAAACTCAGCAGATCACCGGCTGACAGTTGGGATGAGCCTGGGGCATGTTTAAAGCTGACCACTGCATGCATCCCAGTGGAATAGCTTAAAGCAGTGATTCCCAGCCCAGTCTGCAGTGATTTCCAGCCAGTCTACATCACTGCTGCCTCCTAGCCCGCAACACACCTATACCAGGTATTTCTTGTTTGTGATTGGCTGGGAGCTGGGAGGAGGCACAAATGTGGGCTGTCTGGGGGTCCCTGGGCACTGGGTGGGAAACACTGGCTTAGAGGCTTACTGGGGAGCACGTAATGGTCTAGTATTTAATATCAGATTAGTGCATACATTTCCCACAAGCTATTAAATTGTTTGCTTGGGTGTGTGTGTGTGTGTGTGTGTGTGTGTGATTTTTTTGACTTGCTTCATTTGGAATCAAATAATCGCACTGGGCTAATTGAACAAAAAACACAGAGTGACATTGCAATAACAGGAGGAAGGACTGTATTAAACCCCAAATGGCTGTAGGCCAGGCAGGGGGGGGAGTTGGGTGGAGGGGTGGCCTATCGGGTTGCTGTTGACAAGATCCAGGCAGGCAAGTAGGAAGAACCTTTCAAAATCCCCAAAAATGATACTAAAATAGAAGTTTTTTGGGGAGACTTTTCAACAGTGGTTTCGAGATTATTGAACACAGTTGTTACACTTTCTATTGGCTTGTGGTTAAAGAAGTCAAGCAGTTCACACCAATGCATTCTTCAAATAGCAAGAAGAGATCAGGTCTCTATGGAGAAGTACAGCTTTCAGAGATGGTTTCCAGTGCTTTCAAGGCCGGGCTGCGGGGCTGCAAGAAGCTGAAGTGAAACAAATGAGTCTGCTTTCTTTTTCTTTCATCTCTGCCCCTGTTCACCACAAAAAAACAGACAGACACACACACACAAACACGCCGACCTAGCACATGACAGGATCATTCAGGCTTCACCCAATGAGATTTGGAATCAGCCGATGTTCTTCACTCTGAAGCTGAAGACCAATTCTGCAGATAGAAAACAAAGCAGTTTTTAAAAATCCCCTTCTAGAGGAAGTGAGATTTAGATCTTAAACATCTAAAAGATTAGGTCAATCCCCTAATTCTTTTTTCTTGCCAGGTTTACAATGACTTTCCATTTTTCAGTTTCCCCAGGATGAATTTGGTCAGGTGCTCCGACACATCAGTCCATCGTAAATGAATCAGAGCGTATAAGAAAGGCATGATGTATGTTTCCATATTCCCACTTCCCCATGACCACTTCATGTCCTCCCATGATGCCCTTCAGCGATGCCCAATGAATGCCAATAGCGGGACAACATTTCAAACTGGATTTAAGGAAGCACTTCTTTACACAGCGTGTAGTCAGAGTATGGAATATTCTTCCTGATAACATAGTGCAAGCTGAATCCTTGGGTTCCTTTAAATCAGAGCTAGATAAGATTTTAACAACTCTGAGCTATTAGTTAAGTTCTCCCCAAGCGAGCTCAATGGGCCGAATGGCCTCCTCTCGTTTGTATAGTTCTTATGTTCTTAAGTCCCGTTTGCCTGATTTTTAGATGCCGTCCTAGGAGGCAAAACGAGCCAATGTTGTGATGATGTTTGTGCCTAGAATTCCATTGGCCTGATTATGATAATGACCATTGACCACCGAGACTGGTCACTGCAACTCTTGACTTCAAATCTGAATGCGACTTAAATATGTTTCTCAATGTCCCCCCCCCCAAAGAAAAGTCCTCTAAATATTTCACTACTGAGCCATCATCTTGATGAGGGCCTGCGTGGTGGGGGAGGGGTTACACAGCACCATTATTGAGCATGCATTTGAGTGTGCAAAGCGCTTGGAAATTGCCTTCAGATAATTTCACATCTTCTCTCCACGACTGACCCACCATCGCGTGTCTCCATCCTACCTCCAAAGTTCACCACCTCCTGGAATTCAAAGACGGCAGGCTGCCCTGCAGATCAGGGTAAATTTTAAGGCTTGAGCCATCAACTGAGGCTGTAACAATCAAAGCTCTTCTGCAGTAAACCATCTAACCACAGAACTGTGTGACTTATTGGCTAAACACATATTATAATGATAATGGTGATAAAACTGGGCCTGGGGAGGCTTTATTGCAGAACTGCACATCCAGGCCAGCCAGAGTAATGCCAGAGTAATGCCAGAGTAATGCCAGAGTAATGCTGAGGGCTCCTTGACAAAGGAGGTGCTTGTTTCTACATGGAGCGTTGAGCAGAGTTGGGGTCTGCATGAAACGGTCCCAGAAGCGACCCCCCTTTCTCTCCGTCCGAGGTCCGGACCGGTAACTATGCCGATGTAGACGGAAAACGAGCGGAAAGCCATGGAGTCCCGCTGAAGCACCTTCCGAAGCTGCTCCCTGTGCCGACCGGGGGAGGGGGAGTCGGGAGCGTGCTCAGTGTTGAGCCACCAGGGTCTGGGGGGGGAATGGGGGGCTCTGTGCCAATAGCTGGGGCTGCTGACACGGTGCCCAGAGAAACCTTTCGTTCTGGCAGCTTCTCCCCGCATTTCATACAGCTTCCTTTTTTTAAGGCGCATTTTGGACTCTCTTATCGGCAGGCCGCCTCAGCGGCCGCAAATCATACAGAGATAGTTTAAGAAACTAATTTGTTTGTTGCTCTGTTCTGGTGTCTTGGGGCAGAATGGTAGCAATGACATTTATGCGTCCCCTGTTTTCTGATTCTTCTGCCTCACCAGGGTCTCAGCCTGTGTGCGACGGCTAAAAAGGGCCACTTGGACACGTGCCAGCTTCATGCATGTCATCTGTCAATATTTATGTAGTGACCTCGGATGGGGTAGTCCACGTTATATAAAGCCGTGGGGTGACATGATTCATGTGTAGGGGTTTTATTCAAATGCATCGTGTTAGGATAATTTATACAGGGCCGAGTACGAGGCCAATATCTGGCACGGCTCAAATATAAATTATAGAATTAAGCAGCCAAGGACACACATTTTAATAAGATGCTGAATTTGCTGTCCAAAGAAGCAACCTCAGAGTACAAATAACTGAGGGACAGGATGGGAAAACCCATTTTGTTATCATGTGAATAGATTTTTTTTTCAGTTTTTTGAGCGGAAAGTGGACCAGGCCTCTGGGCCCACAAGCACCACTTTGTGGACAAAACCAGTCAGTTGTGCCATGACTACAGTTCGATCCACTCTCTCGCACAGGATTTCTTGCGAAACTCACAGTTTTTTATAATTGAAAACCCGTCATTTCGTTGCCGTTCGTTTCCATGGTGGGTGACACTAGCAGAATCCATCGGCCAAAAATACAAGGAAAAACGGATCTCGGGCAGCAATGCTGGTTCCGAACTGAGGTATATTTGGGTGCCGTGTACCATCCAGCTTTCATAACCACTTATCCAGTACAGGCTCAGAGTGAGACTGGATGCTATTCCAGGAAACGCTGAACACGAAACTGAGAAGCATCCTGAATGGGATGCCAGCACCAGTCACAGAGCGCGCACTAACACACACTTACACTACGCACAATTTAGAGATACCAACTGCATGTTCTGGATCACTGCAGCATGCCCAACGGAACCAGGGTGCTGTCCTGCTTCTTTCCCTTTTTTGTTCTGCTCACAGAATAGTTCCCCTGTATATATTTTGTTTGCTGCAGGTTTACTTAACGAAGGTTCTTTCTCTTTCTGTTTTGTAGTTGGTGCGAAGGAACTGGGAAATAAAGGAAACTGATCAATATGGGTAGAGAAAAAGAGGAAAGTCGAGGAAGGGAACTGTATCCACATGCAAGATTTTATGCCTCTTTTTTAACCAAAGCTTGGTGTTTGGGAGAAGGTGGTCAAGACAGAGGAACTGCAGTCCACCAAGAGCCGAGCCGGTCTGCTCCACTTCCCCCTTGAGCACACGCGTGCATCTGCAGCGTGTTGCGTGCACGAAGAGTGGCGCTCGACATACATGCATGTGTGTACTTCCCTGTTCTTGTTGTGCTTTTCCTAGGCCCTGGCAGGATGTGGTTACTTAAAGGAGTTGCTTACCGTAAGCTGTGAAGTTTCTGTGTATGTTTGTGTGTGTGTGTGTGTGTGTGTGTGTGTGTGTGGGGGGGGGGGGTTAATGAAACTTGCATTAAAAGCCTTTTCAAAAATGATACCATTGACACCCACTGCTGCTCTCAGGGGAGTCGGCAAACACAAAGCCTCACCTGTCATCTGGTCACTGTGTGATGCATGATGGGAGTGGCCAGGTGCAACTCCTCCGCTAAACTCGGTGAAATTCCTGACTAAATGCCTGTTTGATACACCTACACAGCAGTGTCTAACACCCTCTCCCTGCTGTCTTTACGATACAAAAAAATTAAAAGAAGTAAGTCATCTTCCTGTCCTGCAACCAGTCACATTTGCACTGAACAATCTATGTTAAAAATGTGTAAAATGCATTTTCAAAGAAATGCACTGGTTTCACGCTTCTGCTGAACTGTAATCAAGTAACTGAGCCTGTTCTGTGTGAGCCAGAGGTAGTCGGCTCAGAATCCAGTGGTTGCTTGACGCTTGGTCGCTGTCATTGCCGTTTCGGCATGAGGCTTAAAGCTTTCCGTGTTTCCGATTTTGGTTACCCAGAATTCCAAATACTGGTGTGCCATCCGTCTTGTTTTAGGTTTGTTGTGGTCATCTTGTTTTTGTATTTCAATCCTATTTCCTAGTTGCCCCAGCGCTTTGCCCATTAGCCTGACCCTGATGCAGATCCTCTCGGAGCTCCCCATTCATTCGGCATCTCCTACTGGTTACTGTCCAATCGTCTCAGGGTTCACCATGCAGGAAACCTGACATTAAGGATCTATGACCCATTTTTCGGGTGGCCTGCTTTGGGCATGTTATTGTTCACAATTGTGTTTCAACAAAGTGCTTTGAGTTTTGATGGTGGTGCTTGTTAAACATTCATTAAACAGTTTTGTTTCATTGGATATAACATTTAATCAAGTAAATGTAAAATGAAAGTCTAAATTAATACTAAATTAATGGATTATTTCAAGCTTTGTGGATTATGTGTGTCCCTCTCCAGGACTTCTGTGATGTCAGTCACTTTGGGCGGTTCTGGGATTATTCCACTTCTCAAGTTGCCCTTTGCAATTGCATGCCTCAGATGTTTAGATAAAGGTAGGGTAGTTTATTTTTCTCCCTGGAGAAAATCCGGTTAGGCCAGTTCGGTGAGTCAGCCGATCCGCTGTCACCCCAAGTCCTTTTCTCGTCGTGGTGTGACCTACGCCGCGAGCGCTCAGGAAACGTGCTCGTTTCTGTCACTCTGATGCTCGCAGAATGATTCGAGCAGTAAAACGGTCGTGACAAGAAGAGGCACATTAGCAAAGTGTCACCAAGTGAAAGGTGAGGACAAACACTGCCGGCGCCGGTGTCACGCCAGCAAGTGACAAATGTGTGTGTTTCGAAGACAAAAGAATCACGCTCGCGACAAAAACATGCTAATCGTCAGAGCGTGCCTACCTCCAGAACTTGGGCGTGGGCTTAGGTATTGATTCTGCTCGTTGAAGCTGCCATCCATGCTAACTCCACCGTTCCTGTCCGCTCCGTATGGACTGGCCCAGACACACAATCTTCCTAACCGTACAACTCCGGCTGCGAAAAATTTTTCCTTGTTATCCTATGAAAGAAGATACAGGCAGTTCCCTCAGACAACCAGCTTGCTGATAAGAAATACAATAACCATTCCACTGTAATAACCATTCCACTGTAATAACCATTCCACTGTAATAACCATTTCACTGTGCATTCCTGCACAAATGACATCAAGCTAACTCCCAGAATGTGAGATGTTTCATGTAAACATTAAAAAGAACACCTTGACATAAATGTCTTATTGTCGCTTTACACGATTTTACCGAAAAAGCCCTGCAAGGTTCCCTTCCTCCATTCTATGGTGATTTTCTTCAAACTGCGTAAAATATAAAAATGAAATAATTATGCTATCTTGTTTCACAATGGTAACATGCTATAAATACAAGACACTAGAGCGAGAACAAGCAATGGCAAGAAAAACCATGGACCTGCAGATTAAATATTGCTCTTGGCTTTGCCAAGAGCACTAAAAGGGTGCCGTATAATGGGGCTCACTCCCTTCCCTGCTTCCCGTCTCCTTCCATAACCAATCCTCCGTTGCTGTGGTGTAGACGCCCTGCAGTGGCACCCTGAAAAAAAATCCCTTTGTGCATCGGTGGTGAGGTCTATCTGCTTGGCAATGGTGCTTGGAGTTCCTACCCTCAGTAAAGGACACCTGTGAGTTCAGGATCTTGTCTTCTTGGGACACAGACACCTGCACTCTTAGGCCTGTGGATTTCATTCCATTCTGCCCTGGATTTCAGTCATAATCTGATTATAATCCCTGTCAGTGCACAATACCAGTGCCAACTTGGTAGGGATGAAGGCCAGCATACACCTTCTCTGCACATCGAAACACGTTTGCAGGAGTACGTCATTCACTGGATATGCAAGCCCAAGAGCGACATACCCACAGGCCTATGGGTGCCTGCAGAGTGAAGAGAAGTGCAAGAACCCGACCTATAGCTTTTTAAGGCCAGCTAAAAAAACACGGCCTGATTATAAGATCTGTAGGCCCCCATCCCACTGCGGCACAGTAAAAATCAACCCGTGGTCCTCACTGCAGGCTGCAGCTTGGGGATGATTTTAACATGCATCTCCAAAGAGATCTTGCCTTACTATGGCATATCACACAGATTCATCTTTCACGCATTCTGTCCATCTTATACCTTCAGTTCTCCTTTAATATCCCTTTGGCTTTTGCTTTCAAAGTAATCGGTATATTTCCACCGCAGTAATAAGCTCACTGCTATCCTATTCAGTATTTTTAATGTAAGTAAAACAAGTAAAACAAAGTAAAACAAGACGACCACAACAAACCTAAAGCACACCCCAGCTAACAAGGAATGTTCCCAGAACTTTACGTTTCAACACAGGTTTTGTCAATGTGATCACGATGGCATTATGACCTGAACATTCTTTTAACGGAATTAATGTAGGGAAATATTGATTATAATACAATATTATTTTATAAAAGTGCTACATGTGTGTACTGCAGGCAAGCCAACCCGTGACTTTTGAGGTGTAACATGACAGTATTACTCGCTGCTTTACTGTGTCCTTCATTTGGTTTCATATTATTAGTATTCATAGTTATAGTAGTTATAGTAGTAGTTGTACTGGGATGATGTTCTGGACTCTGAACATTTCAATATCTTTGTCGTAACATTCAGCAAACGTTCCTAGAACAAGAAATTGTGAGCGGGGACAGGAGAACGCTCAGTCAACACACAGAAAATCTGTTACATGTCCAGGCCACTAGAGAGCGCCATCATTAACGATGCTTAGCACTAGACCTTGTGGAACTCAATAACACAGGCGCACAGGCGTCCTGCATGGGCTCTAAACTGCTGTCTTTAGACAGTGAATCACCTCATCTGGTTCCAGGTATCAAGTTCTGATTAAATGTTTGCCTTTTAAAACGTGCAGGACCCTGGACCTCAATGAGCAGAGCTGAGCTGGTTTAATACGATTGTAAATGATTTAATTGTGATGTGAAGCACATGGTAAAAACCCAGGGACTGTGGTATGAAAAAAGTAAGTCACTGTGATAAGCTGATTCACATAGAGCTGTAAAAAAATCCATTTCAGTTCAACAGTGTTAAGCTTCTGAGATAGCAATAGGTTGGAGACCAGGTCCAATCAGCAAGTCTGAACTGATCATATGACCCGTGTTCTGAAGTTGGGTGTGAGATAACTGAAAAATCTTAACCCAGGAAAATTGACGCAGACAGTACGGGCACAACTTACGTCAGCACTCTGAAGTGATCAATATGCAAAGATAACTTGTCTCTTTGTCACTTTGGCCCAACATTGTTTTATTAAACAGCAGCGGGAGACCTGATTGGCTCCCTTCTGATCACAAGATTCTAACCCTGGTTATGTCTTAAAGGAGGGGAGAGATATGGAAACACAGACAGCAAGGTTACTCTAAGGTCACCCTGGCTTGAAAAAAGGGTTGCAAGGCCTGACATTTAGAATACAGCAAGCAGGAAGGGGATTGTCATCGATATTCGCAACACAAATGCAAGCAAACACACTTTTTTAAGCCTTGTTGGTTATTCTGATCCGTAATAGAGATCATTATTGTCATCATAGTTGTCGTCACAGTTTTCATACCAGCACTGTAGTAGCTTTTAAAGGAAGTCTTTAGTGCATCAGTTTTTCTAGTGAAGTCAAAGCAAAGCATGAAGCTGAATTTCTCAGATGGTGACCAGGAGTATAGTATACCCAACGCCACAGCCATCCCTTCCAGGAGTATAGTTTACCAAAAGCCACAGCCATCCCTTCCAGGAGTATAGTATACCCAAAGCCACAGCCATCTAAATATACCCCTCCAGCTGACCACTTACGTACACGGAGGTCAACTTTCACTACACAGTCTTTGCTGTTTTGCACAGACTGGTGAATTAAGGTGAATTCATTTGGTGAATGAACGTGCACATAGACAAACAGAAACACATGAGCTCATATAAAACAAATACATAGACAAAAGCAAAAGATGCATTTATGTAAAACGAACAGCAGCTTGATGGTAATTGAAAGCTGCCTGTGTGTGTGAGTGTGCTGCTATGAGTAGGACCCCTTGACTGTGTGTGTGAGTGTGCTGCTATGAGTAGGACCCCTCGCCTGTGTGTGTGAGTGTGCTGCTATGAGTAGGACCCCTGGCCAACCTGAACACCTATGCTCCATGGGATTGATGACTTTTGATGGATAGATATTTACTGATGCTCTTCCCAGCTTGTCAGGGTAATGTTTGCCAACCGACTACAACCTCATTGCATTGGCTGAGGAATATCAGCAATAATGTTCATTTATTTAACAGTGTCTGCGGCCGTGATGACAGAATAAGTGGCCGGAGCATGTCGTCGCTTCTCAACACGCCTTATTTCCCTTTCAACAAACCCGTGTTTCT